GACGTGTGGACTTCAACTCCCAGAATTCTGGGAGTTGAAGTCCACACGTCTTTAAGTTGCTGAGGTTGAGAAACACCGCTTTAATTGATCATGCAGTTCACAGTCTTTGGAAGTGATTCTGAAATAAGCAGATCAGTTAGGATTAAATTTAAAAATTTTAACACAGGGGTCTGTGTTAGGAGTCTAAATGGAGCTTCACTTCATTCTTCATTTATGAATTTAGATGTAAGAAATTCTTGCTACATGTCATTGGACAATATCTCATTTTGAATATTAATTATAGAAGAACCTTTTCTACCTTCATTCTTTCTACAATGGACAAAATATCAGGTTCCATCTGATACCAAATGATTTCTTCTGTTCCTGCTCATTGTCTGCCATAGAAATTCCTCTTCCAAAACCTTTCCACTTTTCTGGAGAACTTTTCCAATTTACTCATTGTACTTGTTTGGAAGTTTACTGCAAGAGCTAGTCTTGGAAAAGGAAGAACATTAATTAAATGATGCCAAATTAAACCATATCCTATGAATACCTACTTGAACTGATTCTCTTTTTTTGAAGCCTACTATTATGTGTCAGGCACACCTCTTTTAATGCTAATGCTTTTTCTCTATTTGAAGTTTACTTTTTAATAACAAGCTTTTCCCAAGTGCTTCACCCAAAATAACAGACGTGCAGGAGAACAAAGAACAAGGCTAGTGTTGAAAGGACCTTGTCATCAAAAGTTAAAGCAGGGATGGGTTCCTTCTTTCAACCCTGCTGATTTATCCATCATTTAGTGTGTCTGTCAATAGGCAAACTTTCATTATACCATTCATTCTGCATTATGGATTTTTACCTGCCAGAATGTGTTTTGATTGCTACATGAAAGAGTAGTGGGAGAACTGCCCTGAAAGAAAAGAAAAGAAAAGAAAAGAAAAGAAAAGAAAGAGAGAGAGAGAGAGAGAGAGAGAAAGAAAGAAAGAAAGAAAGAAAGAAAGAAAGAGAGAAAGAGAAAGAGAAAGAGAAAGAGAAAGAAAGAAAGAAAGAGAAAAAGAAAGAGAAAAAGAAAGAGAAAGAAAGAAAGAAAGAAGGAAAGAAGGAAGAAAGAAAGAAAGAAAGAAAGAAAGAAAGAAAGAA